CAAGCACTGCATTGCTTGCAGCAGAGAGCAGCCTCCATCTGCAGAGATATTCCCAGCCAGCCCCCCTGAGCCTTCCCCGAGCGCTCTCTGCCTCACTCCCCAGTGGCAGTTACAGCCCCTTCCCTGAACATATCTGAAAGGCACTGGGGTCAGCACCTGAGGTTATCTTTCTGACCACTTACTGCAAACACTGGTGTGTCCTTGCAAGGGAGCGGAGATGTATTAAGGTTTCAGTTGGAGTCTCATTTCTATTGCCCCTCTCCAGGCTACTCAACAGGGAGTTTAAAGAGCTGTTGCAGCTATTCAGTGGTGATAGCTCAGCTTGGCTTGCTCTGTCTTGCAAGCCTGCTTTGGCTCACGTTTCATTCCAGCTTCCTTCTTTGCAATGAATATCTCCCCCGGTTTACCCTGCCCTAAATGAGGGCAGAACCAAGTCCACCATGCCCAAACATCCAAGCTTTCTTTGGTTTCTCTGGGGCTCTTCCTTCAGCTGCCCTCTTGTTCTGAAAGCTAAGTATTTAGCAGATGCGGAGAGAAGCAGCAGTCGACTTGTCAGTAGGAATCTAGCTTTCAGTTTGGTTTTCTGATTTGACAAGTGGTCTTTGAATAGGTCTTGAAGTGTTTTACAGAGGTAGGTCAATAGCATTGCTGCCATTTCAAAATAGAAAAGGGGGGAAAAGAAGCTCAGAGTTTGCTTTGATTGCAATTACAGAGCCTGGAGGTTAGGGGACATTGTAAGAGAGCTTTGCACTCTTGCCTTCAGAAAACATACAGCGATTAGTAGAAAATGATGTCCCGCTTCCATATAACTTTATTGCTTGAGTTAATGTTACTCAGAAACATTATTGCTTTCAGTTCAAGTCTGTGGGGGCAGAGTTTAGCCCCCCCAAAAAGGTATATTTTAAGGCCACAAAACTTTGTGAAGCTTATGAAGTATCAAACGTGCTGAGAAATATCATCAGAAAACTCTCAAAGCTTGCCAACGCATCAGTAACTCTTTCCTTCCTGAGAAGAATTTTAAACACATCACACAAGTTTTTGCAGGGAAATAGTATTTTTTTTAGCATTGGCAGGGAGCGGATTTCTTCTGCGATTTGGGGCGCAGCTGATTTCTGATGGGGGAGCAGGCAGGGAAGCTGGGGGAGCCAAGCACTCCCCCTTCGCTCTGCTGTTAAAGCCCACAGCCCCAGCCTCACCCGGCGAGCAGGAAAGGGGGGAAAGCCGGCAGATGAGAACCAGGCGAGTCTACCCCGGTAGCCCTGTTGCAGGAACACGCTTCCCTCCAACCCCAGGGTTGCCGCCACCCGCGGCACCGCTCTCGCTCCTCTTCCTGGTGCAATTCCGGATTGCATCAGGCCCGTTCACGCCGGGCGCCGTCCACCGTCCCGACGGCCACTCGCGGTCCGCGGGGCTG